CGTTCACGACTCAAAGTTATCTGATAGAGTGGAGGTCCGGCGAATACACGAGTCACTGGCTTCAGGCTTGCTCGCGATTGAGCGATGCAGGCTGGTCGGGAAATTCAAGGTATGGTGTCTCCAATTCATGTTGATTCCGAAGCTCCTATGGCCACTGTCAGTCTACGAGGTGACGATGACTGCAGTGGAAACCATGGAGAGGAAAATCAACACAGCCTTGAGAAAGTGGATTGGTGCACCGCCTTGTCTGACCGACGTGGCTCTGTATTGTAAGCAGGCTAAGCTGGTACTCCCGTTCAAATTAATAACTGAAGAGTTCAAAGTTGGTAAAGTAAGACTCGCCATGCTTTTGCGCGAGTCTTCAGACCCAAATGTCATCGCTGTCCAGCCCGCTCTAAAAACTGGCCACAAGTGAAGAGTCCTCGATGCGATAGAATCTGCCCAGAATGCACTAAAATTGAAAGAGATAATGGGATACACTCAAACCGACCGTCGAGGCCTAGGACACGGGAAGGTCAATTGGTGGTCAAAGGCCTCAGCCAAAGAGCGCCGAGACATGGTAATACAAACGGTGAGGGACAACGAAAACGAGGTTCGGGTCCAGAAAGCAGCCCAGCAGTCGCAGCAGGGCCATTGGGTCAGCCTGGAGAGCGCATTGCCAAGAATACTCACATGGGGTGAGATCTGGCGGATGACCCCGCTGCGACTGAGCTTTATCGTTCGTTCGGCGTACGATGTATTACCGTCCGGTGTTAACATGGTTAAATGGTCTGCGACCAACGATCCGACTTGCCCGTTGTGTAAATCGAAGCAAACTCTTGAGCACGTCCTGTCCGCGTGCAGGAAAGCCCTAGGTCAAGGCCGATATACCTGGCATCACAACAAGGTGCTAAAAGAGTTAGCAGCCGTTGTCGACCAGGCTAGAATGAGGGCTAACGCCAGAGCCAGTTCTAGCATCGTCCCCATTCGTTTCCTCAAGACTGGGCAGGTTCCAAAAGGTAAGGTCAACCAAAACGCATTCGCTCCATCTGTGCTAGACTCTGCGAGGGACTGGTTACTGGCGGTTGATTTGCCGGGCCATGAAAGGTACCCCGAGTTGATCCGTAAGACCGGCCTGCATCCGGACATAGTTCTCCACTCTGCGCAAAAACGGCAGCTCATCCTGATTGAGTTGACTGTCCCGTTTGAGTCGCGTATGGAGGAGAATCACTTGTACAAGCTCGAGAAGTACAGTGATTTAGCAGCCGGTCTGAGGAGAAACGAGGCGTACACAGTACGGGTATTTGCCGTCGAAGTGGGAGCGAGAGGCCTCATTTCCACTTCGCTCTACAATGTGGTGAAAGAACTAGGATTGCGCGGTAATGAACGGAAACGAACACTCAAAAAACTGGGAGAGGCAGACGAAAGGGCCCCTAGCTGTCTTTGGACGCAACGCAACAACGTAGGGGACGGGCCTCGGTGAGCTGGTCCGGGTGTCTAGTGGAAAAGGATTTCTCAATCCTTGAAAGTCCATCGTGTCCGAATTGTCTGCCAGTGATCCTCTGCCACCTGCTAATAAAAGTCCAACATGTGTCCGGTAAACCAATCGTAAGCTTGTCGCTCGGTCGTCCAGGCACGCTGACTGCTTTAATTAGGCTGCCGTGGCAACTTCTTATCTCACAGTACCTTCTGCGAAACCACCAAGTCGTCTTGTCTCTGGCCGAAAGTAAAACACCATCCGGTAATCCCGTGCAGCAGGGAACCAGCCCTGAGCTTCATGAACTCAGGAGGGCCCACCTAAGAATGCGTCTAGGAATCGTGGGCCGAAACGTGTGTCGACGAGGATAATTTGACATGGTTACATTATCTGACATGGTTACATTATATGACATTGCTACATTATCTGACATGGTTACATTATATGACATGATTACATTATCTGACATTGCTACATTATCTGACATGGTTACATTATCTGACATTGCTACATTATCTGACATTGCTACATTATATGACATGGTTACATTATAGGACATTGCTACATTATATGACAAGGTTAAATTATCTGACATTGCTACATTATATGACATGGTTACATTATATGACATTGCTACATTATATGACATTGCTACATTATCTGACATTGCTACATTATATGACATGGTTACATTATCTGACATTGCTACAGTATCTGACATGGTTACATTATCTGACATGGTTACATTATCTATGGTTACATTATCTGACATGGTTATATTATCTGACATGGTTACATTATCTGACATTGCTACATTATATGACATGGTTACATTATCTGACATGGTTACATTATCTGACATGGTTACATTATCTGACATTGCTACATTATATGACATGGTTACATTATCTGACATTGCTACATTATATGACATGGTTACATTATCTGACATGGTTACATTATCTGACATGGTTACAGTATCTGACATGACTACATTATCTGACATGGTTACATTATCTGACATGGTTACATTATCTATGGTTACATTATCTGACATGGTTATATTATCTGACATGGTTACATTATCTGACATGGTTACATTATCTGACATGACTACATTATCTGACATGGCTTCCTTATCTGACATGCCTACATTATTTAACTTGGCTACATTATCTACTTGTGTCAGTCAGTCAGATGTGTCAGTCAGTCACACTTGTCAGCTAGTCACACGTTTTAGCCAGTTACATGTGTCAGCTAGTCACACCTGTCAGCCAGTAACACGTGTCAGCCAGTCATAAGTGTCAGCCAGTCACACGTATCAGCCAGTCACACGTGTCAGCCAGTCACACATGTCAGCCAGTCATAGGTGTCAGCCAGTCATAGGTGTCAGCCAGTCATAGGTGTCAGCCAGTCATAGGTGTCAGCCAGTCATAGGTGTCAGCCAGTCATAGGTGTCAGCCAGTCATAGGTGTCAGCCAGTCATAGGTGTCAGCCAGTCATAGGTGTCAGCCAGTCATAGGTGTCAGCCAGTCATAGGTGTCAGCCAGTCATAGGTGTCAGCCAGTCATAGGTGTCAGCCAGTCATAGGTAGCCAGTCATAGGTGTCAGCCAGTCATAGGTGTCAGCCAGTCACACATGTCAGCCAGTCATAGTTGTCAGCCAGTCATAGGTGTCAGCCAGTCATACATGTCAGCCAGTCACACGTGTCAGCCAGTCATAGGTGTCAGCCAGTCACACGTGTCAGCCAGTCACACGTTTCAGCCAGTCACACGTTTCAGCCAGTCATAGGTGTCAGCCAGTCATAGGTGTCAGCCAGTCATAGGTGTCAGCCAGTCATAGGTGTCAGCCAGTCATAGGTGTCAGCCAGTCATAGGTGTCAGCCAGTCATAGGTGTCAGCCAGTCATAGGTGTCAGCCAGTCATAGGTGTCAGCCAGTCATAGGTGTCAGCCAGTCATAGGTGTCAGCCAGTCACACATGTCAGCCAGTCACACATGTCAGCCAGTCATAGGTGTCAGCCAGTCATAGGTGTCAGCCAGTCATAGGTGTCAGCCAGTCATAGGTGTCAGCCAGTCATAGGTGTCAGCCAGTCACACGTGTCAGCCAGTCATAGGTGTCAGCCAGTCACACGTATCAGCCAGTCACACGTGTCAGCCAGTCATAGGTGTCAGCCAGTCCCACATGTCAGCCAGTCACACGTGTCAGCCAGTCATAGGTGTCAGCCAGTCACATGTGTCAGCCAGTCAGCATATAAGAAGTGGTGAAAATATCTAGCTGTGTGACTGCAGTCAAGCTGAAACCAAAGAACTCCAGTGAAATGTGACTAAAATGCTTTACTAAAATGAGAAGCAGAAAACATGCACATACAACACAACACAAAGTTTCAACCACTGACCTCTCTGGAACAAGTAATGAAGTATATACAACAGTAACAAAGAGGAGAGTTCAAATCTCTAAGGGGTGACGTGAGCAACTTTTTGAGGAAATGATTGAAGTGAAATAAAATAAACAAAGGCTAACACACACACAAAAAGATGCAAAGAATAAAAAGTAGTATTGTTAATAAAATATAATATTAGGAATAAAAGAGTAATATAATAGTTATTTATGTTATTTACTAAATAAAATATTTTACATTTCGCTGGAATACCTCAGCCAGTCAGAAGTGTCAGTAAATCACATTTTCATTAGTTTGCATGAGACAATAAATCACATCTATATATATAAAAATTAATGTTTGTGTGTTTGTTTCACCCCTATAGACTCGGAAACTACTGAACCGATTTAGCTGAAATTTTCAGGATATGTTTGTTGTGATACCTGATTTTGAACTGTCGTGGTTTGAAATTCAACGTGTCACTGTTAGAGATAGGTGACCACAATTTATGCCAAAATATACGCAACTAATATTTATAACTTTAGTGATTTCTAATTATAGCCACGTTAGTAATTGCGCATGCGCCGTATTTACCATTCGCCGGCGAGTTACGTGCAGCCAACGCCTTCTCTAATACTAATACATAGAGTAGGTCGTGGTACAGCAAACAAGACTATCTCTATATTTGCCACAATAACCATATTAAACACGATTTCTATTTTCTGTTTTTTTTTTCAAACAACCTTCGATGGGGGTGGGGGGGCAATCAAGGACTATCTCGACGTCGGCGCAGACAGTGACTGCGACATTTACTTCATTAACCGTGTTAGACACGTGCGATTTCTATTTCATTAATATATCAGGAGTATCTGTCTACGAGAAAACAATTGCCTGCGGTTTCGAATTGTGTTTTAATCGCGACACAGTAGTATGGACTCACATGTCTAATAGTTGAGTTCTCTTTTCGAGTGGCTGCTTGGTCGAATGGTTAGAACACTGGGTTCATGTGCGGTAGACCTGGGTTCGAATCCGCAGTCGTTAAATTTTTTGTGTGCCCCGGACTAGTGTGACAATAAATCACATGAAACAATAAATCACAGGAGGCACTAAATCACTAATGTTGATAAATCAGATGGGACAATAAATTAAGTGTGAACCATTTCCAGGTGAACAACAATGTGCTGATGTGCATCATCAACTGTGGAGCAGGCGTGGCTGCGATTATCACTCCCTACTGCTCTCCTTATCCTTTGATGATTGTCTTCAGATTTCTGACCAACATGTTCTGTGGAGCTATCGACACTTGTAAGTGCTTCTTTATCATCTTGTGTGAGTGTCAGCACTGGTGCTGTTATCATGCTGTGTGAATTCCTCTGTCTGTCAGTCTGTCTGTCTGTCTGTCTGTCTGTCTGTCTGTCTGTCTGTCTGTCTGTCTCTCTCTCTCTCTCTCTCTCTCTCTCTCTCTCTCTGTCTCTCTGTCTCTCTCTCTCTCTCTCTCTCTCTCTCTCTCTCTCTCTCAATATTCGACACTGAAGACTGTTCGTGCGTGTGTGGTTAGGTATGTATTTATGTATTTACATGTGGATGCCTGTATGTGTAACATACTAAAGGCTCAAGAAACCTGGCTGAATCAGACATGCACAGACATTTGGAGAAATCACAGGAAAATCTCACTTCCATACACCAACAAATAAGTTTATTATAAGTTTATTAACGGAGAAGAGGTGTAACAGCACAGGGTGTTTAAAATCCCCCAAAAAGGGGAAATATTTAACGAGGCAAAGTTGAATGTTGAATTAAGAATCAACATCACAGCACTCAGGACACACCCATAAGCGCTATCAGACCGTGACGATCCATTTGCACTTCCGCACTGTTCACCAGCTCCCAGAGGGCCCTCACAACATCTAGCTTGTCATTTATAAGTTCACCACCAAATGGTGCAGAACCGACTAGTCTGTCTGCCTGCTCATTTCCCAACGCACGGGCATACCCTGGTGAAAAAAATTCAGACAATACTTCTTACTCGTGTCCTCGGCAGCAAGTTATGCCACTCTGCACGACGCATGCCTGTCCTCATCTTCCTCAGCATGCTTTTTGAGTCAGCTACAATCACGATGTGGAAAGCCAGTGGAAAGCTGCAGTGACCGCCTCCACCTCCATTTTTAAGCTAGATGTTGTGGTATCATATGCTAGGTTTTGGTACATTAGCTTTAATGATCCTGTTGTCCAGAGAACACCACAAAACAGACGCTTTTTCCGGGTGGACGACAGCCTTCATTTCTGAACACCACTCAGTCACTTTGTCTACTGTCGCTTGTAGTTCCCAGGCTGTTTGTTCCCTCTCTTCCCCCTGCCTATATGCAAGTATATCATCCGCAAAAGTCAGTATTCTTTCAACTCCTGGTGCCTCTAGGCTTGCAATCTTGCTCTTACACGTTGAAGAGCACAGGCGAGATGGCGGATCCCTGTGGCAGTCCTGGGGCCAAACTGCATGGTTCTGAGGTTCATGAACCCAGTCGGAGAGCAACCCGACGTGAATACAGGACAGCTGCAACCCAATTCACCATCCATTTACTGACCTCCTTTTCCTTGAGTGCAGTCATCAGGATGTTGTATCTTACTCTGTTATAAGCATCCTCGAGATCCAGTCGTACCGCCACAGTTTCCTGTCTGTTCTGAAACCCTTCATAGACGTCAAAAGCAAAAGTGGCCGCATTTCCAGGCCTGTAGCTTCCCGGACCTCTTGGGAGAAGCTTTCCCCTTTCCAAAAATTTTTACAGCTTTACAGCAACTATCTTCTCCAAGACCTTCCCAAATGTGTTTCGTATGGTGATGATTCTAAAGCCACTGAGCTTTGAATGCTTCTTAAAAGGTTTTGGTAGTGGGATTAGATAGCTGTGCACCCAGTCCTGTGGTAGTGATGCTGTCTTAATGCTCTGGTTAAAACAGTCAGCCATCTCCGCCAGGTCCACATCGCTCAAAGTCTTCATGTGACCATACCTGTCTCCATCAGGCCCTGGTGCAGTGTCTTTTGCTTTTTTCAAAATCTGTTTGATATCTTCTATTGGTATCATGTCCTGATAGTTCATATTCTTTAAGGTGCCAGCTAACTCCTCTCTAACTGCATCCCTGCAGTTTCCAGAATGTCCCCAATGTTTTATCGCCTCCCATGTCATTCACAAAAAATTGTCCACTATGCTCTTTAGGCCTGTGCAGCACAGTGCTTAAAAACCTCCACCTTTTTTTTTCTTCACATTCTCTGCCATCTCCACTTCCTCTCGTGAGCTTGAGGGTGTCTGTTGTACTTTATTTAGCTGCTTCACTGTGGCTCTCTTTGCCTTCCATGCCTGTTCTACTTCTGGAGTCCACCATGGGGGCTGTAGAAAATTGGTTCTGGCAGTTCTGTTGCATGCTCCCTGTCTGAGGCGTCCAAGTAGGTTGTTGGTCAACTTATACCAGAAGGTCTTGCATGCTCTGACAGCCTTAACCTTACTGGGTTTAGAAATCAGGACTGAACATGGTAGGTGATCACTCCCAAGGTAAAAGCAGCTGTAAGAATTAATAAACATTTTGGAGCATAAAGAGGAGGTTACGACAAGGATGTGTACTGTCACCTGATTTGTTTTTATTAAACAGTGAATATATAGTGAGATCTATCATGGATATATCAGGAATTGTGGTTGGTGGTCATCACAGAAACAACCTGCTTTATGCTGATGACACTGACTTGATAGCGACAAGTCAGAAAGAACTACAGTAATTGATAAATACGGTGATGGTAGAAAATGATAAATGGGCCTCAGTTTGATTAATGGGAAGTCAGAGGTAATGGGGATTTCCAAGAAAAGATTAGTGCCTAAATGTGTAATAAAAGTCAAAAGAGTTATTTTTAAGACAAGGTACAGAAATTTAAGTATCTAGGTACATGGATAACATCGGACAGAAGATGTATCACAGAAATAAAGAACAGAATAGGACAGGCCAAAACTTTTTAAAAAATGAAGAATATTTTATGCAATAAACTCATGTCACAGGAGGTTAGAAAGAATACTCTATAGAGCTTGTTTTAACTAATGGCTGTGAATCCTTGAAAATTAATAAACAGGCTGAACAATTTCTCGAGGCATCAGAGACTTGGTTTCAAGAAAAATCCTAGGAATTCCTTTCAACAGCTAAAAAGAGCATGCATTCATATATGTATACGTATGTCTGTCTGTCTGTCTGTATGTGTGTGTGCGCATGCGTGTACACGTGTGCCTGCATGCCTATGTATGTGTGTAGGTGAGTACGTGCATCTGTTTGTCTGTCTGTGTGTGTATACATATGTAAAAATATATGTGTGTGTATACATATGTGTTTATGTATAACTGTATGCATATACCACTCATGCTTTTGTATAGTTTACTTGATGTTAATATTATGTATATTGTTACATGAACAGAACATGCTGTAGAGATAAAATACAATTGTTTTATGAACAGAACATGCTGTAGAGATACAAAATCATTGTTTTATAAACAGAACATGCTGTAGAGATAAAATACAATTGTTTTATAAACAGAACATGCTGTAGAGATAAAATACAATTGTTTTATAAACAGAACATGCTGTAGAGATAAAATACAATTGTTTTATGAACAGAACATGCTGTAGAGATAAAAATATCATTATTATATGAACAGAACATGCTGTAGAGATAAAATGCAATTGTTTTACAAACAAAACATGCTGTAGAGATAAAATACAATTGTTTTATGAACAGAACATGCTGTAGAGATAAAATACAATTGTTTTATGAACAGAACATGCTGTAGAGATAAAATACAATTGTTTTACAAACAGAGCTTGCTGTAGAGATAAAATACAATTGTTTTATGAACAGAACATGCTGTAGAGATAAAATACAATTGTTCTATAAACTAAACATGCTGTAGAGATAAAATACAATTGTTTTATAAACAGAACATGCTGTAGAGATAAAATACAATTGTTTTATAAACAGAACATGCTGTAGAGATAAAATACAATTGTTTTATAAACAGAACATGCTGTAGGGATAAAATACAATTGCTTTATGAACAGAACTTGCTGTAGAGATAAAATACAATTGTTTTATAAACAGAACATGCTGTAGAGATAAAATACAATTGTTTTATAAACAGAACATGCTGTAGGGATAAAATACAATTGCTTTATGAACAGAACTTGCTGTAGAGATAAAATACAATTGTTTTATGAACAGAACATGCTGTAGAGATAAAATACAATTGTTTTATAAACAGAACTTGCTGCAGAGACAGAATACAATTGTTTTATAATCAGAACATGCTGTAGAGGTAAAATACAATTGTTTTATAAACAGAACATGCTGCAGAGATAAAATACAATTGTTTTATGAACAGAACACGCTGTAGAGATAAAATACAATTGTTCTATAAACTAAACATGCTGTAGAGATAAAAATCATTGTTTTATGAACAGAACTTGCTGTAGAGATAAAATACAATTGTTTTATAAACAGAACTTGCAGTAGAGATAAAATAAAATTGTTTTATGAACAGAACATGCTTTAGAGATAGAATACAATTGTTCTATAAACTAAACATGCTGTAGAGATAAAAATACAATTGTTTTATAAACAGAACATGCTGTAGAGATAGAATACAATTGTTCTATAAACTAAACATGCTGTAGAGATAAAATACAATTGTTTTATGAACAGAACATGCTGTAGAGATAAAATACAATTGTTTTATAAACAGAACTTGCTGTAGAGACAGAATACAATTGTTTTATAAACAGAACATGCTGTAGAGGTAAAATACAATTGTTTTATAATCAGAACATGCTGTAGAGATAAAATACAATTGTTTTATTAACAGAACATTCTGTAGAGATAGAATACAATTGTTCTATAAACTAAACATGTGTAGAGATAAAAATACAATTGTTTTATAAACAGAACATGCTGTAGAGATAGAATACAATTGTTCTATAAACTAAACATGCTGTAGAGATAAAATACAATTGTTTTATAAACAGAACATGCTGTAGAGATAAAATACAATTGTTTTATAAACAGAAGATGCTGTAGAGATAAAATACAATTGTTTTATGAACAGAACACGCTGTAGAGATAAAATACAATTGTTCTATAAACTAAACATGCTGTAGAGATAAAATACAATTGTTTTATAAACAGAACTTGCTGTAGAGATAAAATACAATTTCTGTGTGAAAGATGAGTGTTTGGAAGTGTTACTGGTGAATTCTGAACAAGTGCATCTGCATCTCTGTGTTTCTTTCAGTGGTCAATGCCGAACATATGCACATTTGGGGCAAGGAAGGGAGAGCACTATTACAGTTTATACATTTTGTATTTGCTTTGGGTGGAGTTGTCACCCCACTGATTACAGAACCATTTCTGGCTGCAAAAGGTGCGGAACATGAATTGTTGTCATCAGTGAAGAATTTGAATGTTACCGTAAAGGTCACAGATGGGATAGCTGTTGTTTATAATGAAACACATTCACACAATCAAACAGGATATGGAGTAGCTGTTGTTTACAATGAAACACATTCACACAATCAAACAGGAGATAGCTTTGGGAGACCTTTGACTACTAATGTACATTATGCCTTCCTGATAGCAGGCCTGATTGCAGTGATGATTGCTGTTCCATATGTCATTCTCATATTTATTGACAAAAGGTCAGAGTCCTCATCAGAAAACAAATACACCCAGAAACTACGTTCCAGACAACTGCCTCTACCAATGTATATATTCATGCTTGTAGTGCTGTGTTTTTTCTATGTAGTCTATTGTTGTATAGAAGATACCTTTGCCTCATTTCTCATGACATTCGTAGTGAGGGAGTACGAGAGTGTCACCAAATCTCAGGGAGCATATATCACCATGTTTTATTGGGCATCCTTCGCTGCTGCCCGTTTCGGGAGCATTTTTGTGTCCTCTTATTTAACAGCTGTCAGATCCATGCACCTCTACTGCTTTCTGATGGTTGTGGCCTACACTGGCTTCACATTGAGCGCTGTGCATGCACACATTGATTCTCTAACAGCCTTCGCCTGTATGGCAGGCATCTCTATGTCTGGACTCTTCCCCGCTGGCTTCTCCTGGACGGAAGCTGAACTCTTCCCTGTCACTGGATGGGTATCCTCCTACATTCTCATTGGCAGCTCTTTAGGTATGATGGTCAACCCCATGATTGTGGGCTTCCTGATGAAGCACGTGTCCAACATGTGGTTCTGCTATATCCTGCTGGGCGAGGCACTGCTCTTGTCTGTTGTATTCTTCTTCCTTCTGATGTTCAATCGCTGTTACATAAACAAGATCTATGGTACTGTTGCAAATGCCACAAGTTTGGAGATCACTGTTGATGCATCAAAAACAGATGCAGACACTTCAGAAATAACAGTGTCAGTCAAATGTTAACATTTATTTAATCAACAGTGTCTTGAAGGAATGAATGGATGAATGAATGAATGAATGAATGAATGAATGAATGAATGAATGAAGGAATGCATGGATGAATGAATAAAACGAGATCAAGAATTAACATCACTGCATTTGGAACATTCCCATATGTGCTCCAACCCCCTCCTCAGTAGCCAACTAAGATACAACATGCTAACAGTGTCTCTCAGATGTTAACATATCTGTTACCTTACACCCATCAATTTTACCATATATATAACCCAACAATGATAGTCAAATGTTAATATTTTTTTAATCTAACAGTGTCTGTCAAATGTTAACATATCTGTAACATTACAGTGTCTGTCAAATGTTAACATATCTGTAACATTACAGTGTCTGTCAAATGTTAACATATCTGTAACATTACAGTGTCTGTCAAATGTTAACATATTACAGTACAAATGCCTTACAGTTCCTGTCAGATGTCAAAATGTTTTAAATATAACAATATCTGGCTAATGTTTACATATCTGTAACCTTACAGCGTCTATATAATGTGATCATATCTGTAACATTACAGCGTCTATATAATGTGATCATATCTGTAACCTTACAGCGTCTATATAATGTGATCATATCTGTAACCTTACAGCGTCTATATAATGTGATCATATCTGTAACCTTACAGCGTCTATATAATGTGATCATATCTGTAACCTTACAGCGTCTATATAATGTGATCATATCTGTAACCTTACAGCGTCTATATAATGTGATCAGATCTGTAACCTTACAGCGTCTATATAATGTGATCAGATCTGTAACCTTACAGCGTCTATATAATGTGATCAGATCTGTAACCTTACAGCGTCTATATAATGTGATCAGATCTGTAACCTTACAGCGTCTATATAATGTGATCAGATCTGTAACCTTACAGCGTCTATATAATGTGATCATATCTGTAACCTTACAGCGTCTATATAATGTGATCATATCTGTAACATTACAGCGTCTATATAATGTGATCATATCTGTAACCTTACAGCGTCTATATAATGTGATCATATCTGTAACCTTACAGCGTCTATATAATGTGATCATATCTGTAACCTTACAGCGTCTATATAATGTGATCAGATCTGTAACCTTACAGCGTCTATATAATGTGATCAGATCTGTAACCTTACAGCGTCTATATAATGTGATCAGATCTGTAACCTTACAGCGTCTATATAATGTGATCATATCTGTAACCTTACAGCGTCTATATAATGTGATCATATCTGTAACATTACAGCGTCTATATAATGTTATAAGATCTGTAACCTTACAGCGTCTATATAATGTGATCATATCTGTAACCTTACAGCGTCTATATAATGTGATCATATCTGTAACCTTACAGCGTCTATATAATGTGATCATATCTGTAACCTTACAGCGTCTATATAATGTGATCAGATCTGTAACCTTACAGCGTCTATATAATGTGATCATATCTGTAACCTTACAGCGTCTATATAATGTGATCATTTCTGTAACCTTACAGCGTCTATATAATGTGATCATATCTGTAACCTTACAGCGTCTATATAATGTGATCATATCTGTAACCTTACAGCGTCTATATAATGTGATCAGATCTGTAACCTTACAGCGTCTATATAATGTGATCAGATCTGTAACCTTACAGCGTCTATATAATGTTATCAGATCTGTAACATTGCAGTTTGTGTCTAATGTTGACAAATCCATAACCTTACAACAATGTCAATGTCGGATCTGAATTGCAAGTATTGCTAATTGATTTGATTTGATTCAAGAACCGACCTCACAGCACTCAGGGCATTCCCATAAGCACTCTGTCCCCATTTTCAGCAACCAGTGAAGAGTTCTGATACTAATGGTGCCAGTAACATTTTGATTACATGTCCGTCTTGCCTTTCCTCTGAGCCTCAAGCATCTGCCAGAACCTCTCGTCACTCCCCCCTGCACCAAACTGGTGATCCATCTGCTCCCCCGAACTGTACACGCTCTCCCACAAGGCACTAACCACGTCTGCCTTATCATGTATCAGTATTCCACCAAGCTGTGCAGAGCCAGCCAGTCTGTCCCTCTGTTCATTTCCCAACACACGTTGTACCCTGGTTAAAAAAATCCAGACAATACTCCTTACTCGTGTCGTCTGCAGTGAGGTATGCCACTCTGCACGAAGCATGCCTGTCTTGATCTTCCTCAGCATGTTTTCTGAGCCAGTTACAATCATGATGTGTGTGTGTGTGTGTGTCGTGTTCTCTAGCCAGTGGAAAGCCGCAGTGACCGCCTCCACCTCCATTCTTAAGCTGGATGTTGTGGTATCATATGATGGGCTCTCCTGCACCAAACGTTGACCATTAACTTTTGCTAAGAAACCCCAAGCATTTCTTTTGCCCCTTGACACTAAACCGTCTGAGTAAATGACACTGAACCATCTGAGTAAATGATCAAATCCTCTGAGCGATCATTATCTTGAATTAATTGCTGAATTTCCACCTCTATGGAACCTGCTGGCCTGTCTCTACATTCCCGGTTCAGTGTGATTATGACCCTACACAAGTCGGACTGTTCAGGAGGCACTTTAAACCACTTCTCTCCTCTCCTCTCATAAGTATTGCTAATAAGGATGGGTACTGCACCAGAGTCATTCTTCTATCAGATTAGCCACTGAGAAAATTACTGCATGTTGTGCATGATAATGTGTATAAATAAATATTGAGGCCAGTGACTAATTACATTTGGGCAGTAATTAATGTTGGAGGCCAATGATTCATTACACTGGGGAAGGTGTGTGTAGAGATCAGTTATAAATTTATCTAGAGATTAGCCACAGGTGTGTCTATAGGTGAGGAGATATTAGCCACAGATTTATCTATAAATTAGTCACAGGTTTGATAAGAGATTACTCACAGGTTTTCTAAAGATTAGTCACAGGTTGTTTGTCTAGAGATTAGTCACAGGTTTCTCTACAGATTAGTCACAGATTTGTATAGAGATAAGTCACAGGTGTGTCTGGAGATTAGTCCTAGGTTTGTTTAGAGATTGGTCACAGGTTTTTCTAGAGATTAGTCACATATTTGTCTACAGATTATTCAGAGATTTGTATAGAGATTAGTCCTAGGTTTGTCTAGAGATTAGTCACAGGTTGTTTTCCAGAGATTACTCAGTTTTGTCTAGAGATTAGTCCTAGGTTTGTCTATAATTAGTCACAGGTTTCTCTAGATATGTCACAGGTTTATCTAGAGATTAGGCCTAGGTTTGTCTAGAGATTACTTAAATGTTTGTTTAGAGTTTATGCACAGGCTTGTCTAGAGATTAGTCACAGGTTTGTCTAGAGATTGGTAACAGGTTTGTCTAGAAATTACTCACAGGTTTAGCTTGTCTAGAGATTAGTAACAGGTTTGTCCAGAGATTAGCAGAGGGTGGTTAAAGACTTGCCTAGAGATTTAATGCCATTTGTTTAATTCTGTTGATACAGTGACATTTATTTCATTCTCTTGATTTAGTGACATGTATTTAATTCTCATGAACCCGGTGACATTTATGTCATTCACTAGATTCAGTAAAATTTATTTAATTCACTAGATTCAGTGACATTTATTTGATTCACTAGATTCAGTGACATTTATTTATTCCGCTAGATTCAGTGACATTTATTTAATTCACTAGATTTTGTGCCATTTATTTATTCCGCTAGATTCAGTGACATTTATTTAATTCACTAGATTCAGTGACATTTATTTAATTCACTAGATTCTGTGCCATTTATTTATTCCGCTAGATTCAGTGACATTTATTTAATTCACTAGATTCTGTGCCATTTATTTAATTCACTAGATTCAGTGACATTTATTTAATTCACTAGATTCAGTGATATTTATTTAATTCACTAGATTCTGTGCCATTTATTTAATTCACTAGATTCAGTGACATTTATTAACTAGATTCAGTGATACTTTTTAATTCTCATGAATCAGTGACATATTTTAATTGTGTATCATTCAGTGAAATGTATTAAATTTTCATGAATCAGTGACATTTATTTAATTCTCTTGATTCCATGACATTTGTTAAATTCTCACAATTCAGTGACATTTGTTTGATTCTCTTGATTCAATGACATTTGTTTCATTCTCTAGATTCAATGACATTTGTTTCATTCTCTAGATTCAGTGACATATTTTAATTGTATATTATTATGTAAAATGTGTTTAATTTTCATGAATCAGTGATTTTTATTGATTTTTCTTGATTCAGTAATATTTATTTTATTTTTTTGATTCAGTTAAATGTGTTTAATTCTCCATATTCAGTGACATTTTAAATGTGTATCATTGAGTGAAATGTGTTGACTTCTCTCTGAAAGTTCTGCACTAGTAATTCTGTCATACATTTAATTCCATCTAATAAATCTATTGACTTCAGTCTGTGTGTACCAGAGAGCTGACTTTAGTCTGTGTGTACCAGAGAGCTGACTTTAGTATGTGTGTACCAGAGAGCTGACTTCAGTCTCTGTGTACCAGAGAGCTGACTTCAGTCTGTGTGTACCAGAGAGCTGACTTCAGTCTGTGTGTACCAGAGAGCTGACTTCAGTATGTGTGTACCAGAGAGCTGACTTCAGTATGTGTGTACCAGAGCGCTGACTTCAGTCTGTGTGTACCAGAGAGCTGACTTCAGTCTGTGTGTACCAGAGAGCTGACTTCAGTATGTGTGTACCAGAGCGCTGACTTCAGAATGTGTGTACCAGAGAGCTGACTTCAGTCTGTGTGTACCAGAGCGCTGACTTCAGTATGTGTGTACCAGAGAGCTGACTTCAGTCTGTGTGTACCAAAGCGCTGACTTTAGTATGTGTGTACCAGAGAGCTGACTTCAGTCTGTGTGTACCAGAGAGCTGACTTCAGTCTGTGTGTACCAGAGAGCTGACTTCAGTCTGTGTGTACCAGAGCGCTGACTTCAGTCTGTGTGTACCAGAGAGC